CCCCATAAATATCTTCGAAATATCTCAGCCTTGTCCTTATCCGGAGGAGTCAGACCACTTCGATCGATCCAAGATGCAGTTCGATCGATCGAACCCATCTTCGATCGATCCAAGTTAAGGTTCGATCGATCGAACTTCCTCCAGCGAGAAAAAGTTAAAGTCCAGCTCATTTATTCCGTCCTTCACCCAATCATTGGAGAATATGCCTTGCACGACCACAGCTCATCATAGGGTGTATTTAACCTACCTATATAAGGAATGTGATACACTTTTTGGAGAAGAGTCTAGAGTCTCTTGTCACACATTGAAAATCATCTTGGAGGCTATTCTTGGAGAGGAAGAAGGGAGGAAGCTAGAGCAACCATTGGAGGAGATCTTCACCAACTAGGAGCAGCCATGGAGTTAGCCCTTGAGGGTTGGATCATCACTACCATGAGTGGCTAGACATCTTCTTGGGGCTAGAATTAGCCCCAAACATGCTTTCTTTACCTAATCTTGTGTAATTTTGAGGGATTTGTGTTGTAATGCATATTTTGATTCTTGAACTTATGAAGATCTTGATTATTCATTGAGTTCTATGGATTAATGCTTCTAATTGATCATTTTCTCTATCTATATGTCTATGTATGCTAGAGTAGATGCTCACCTCTAGATTTAATGTTATTGATGCATGTCTATGTGTATTAATGCCTTTAATCTTGAGATTGCCAAAATATGAAGTTCTTAATGTAATGCTCTTGTTATGTCTCTAGATGGTTCATACTTATTCCTTAATGGATTGTGTTTCTCTTTTAAGTAGTGTAGTGTTAGTTGGGGAAACAATTCATGCTTGTTCTTTGATGTTCCATGCTTTTGAATGCAAGAAGCATATGCTCTAATATTGTGGTGTAATGGAATTTTGAGCTTAATGAAGGATTAATGATTAGTTATGATATGTTGTATATTTCACATGTGTTTAGACAATTTATTCCTCTCCCAATAGATATTTTGTACCTCTCACATGATGATTAGATAATGCATGTTTAACTAAGTCATCCTTATGAATTGCTTGGACTATGAGCTTAATGAAAGGTTCAATGACTTGAATTGTTATTTTTTTATCTTCACATGATGTTTAGACAATATATTCCTCTACCAATAGATGTATTGTGGCCTCACACATGTTGATTGAGACAATTTGCACTTGTTGAGTCACCCTTACCAATTGAATGTCTTTTACACACACAACATTGTTGCAACACATTCATTTCCCTCATTAGTCATTTGATTATGGTTTGGAATAGTATTGTTTGGTGGTGATCTCTACACCCCAAGACCTTTCTTTCTTACTTACTCTTTATCTTATTGCATTGCTTTATTATAGTTTAGCTCATTTAGTATAATCAACCAATCAATCAACAATTGTGTGATCACTCGACCTACTAACCTTAATTACCATAGTCTCACGATTCGATACACCATCAAATCCCTTGGGACGATCCCTACTCGCCCTATCTATATTTTATATAGATAGTAGTGGCTTTTTATAAATGTAAAACTTGGCCACCTCCTAAACACACACAACTCTCAAGCTTTGTTGGTTGTGGCGACTCCATCAAGGAAACCAACAACACTCATAGGGCGATGAACTTTATCTTTTGTTGTTCTCTTTGAAGATTTGACATGTCTTGATGGACCTTTAAAACAGAAATTAATCCAGTCAGATATCTTTACATTCTGATCTCCTTTATACTTCTTGGAAAGTCTGTGGAAGGCCAAAAATTGGTGTTGACAACTCAAGGGGAGAGAATTTTTGTTGTTGCAAGCTCTTAAGAGTTCATCTGCGCAAGGAATAACTTCATCATAAATTACTCCTTGATGAGGGAGTCCGCCTAGCATATACAAATCTCGAAGAGAAATTGACAGCTCGCCAATAGAACAATGAAGAGTATTGGTGTCTGGGCACCAACATTTAAGGAATGCTTTGAATAAATTTTCATGACGATCATAGGAAAATAAAGAGGCGAATAGAGCACCATATAGTTGCTGTTTTGATAGAAAGTCATGGAAACGCGCCAAGACATCTTCTAACCACTCCCAATATAGTTCGGTGTATGGCAATTCAGCGGAAAGTTTATAGGGAATACTCCATGATATTTCCTTCGCCTAAACATTGAGACCCAAGAGTGAAAACTGGTTTTCCTCAACAACTTTCTCATAAAGTGAAGAATTCAGTATCAAGACTTTAGAGACAATAGATTTTTCATTAATCTGATCAAGACCAACGTTGGTGAGTTCGCATGTGGCCATGCATGTCCAATGAGATGAGCAAAGTTTATTGTCAGGATCAGGCACTTGAATAGCATTGCGACCAAAAAGTGAGTCATATACACTTAATGTCGTTCCTTGGATTTGTTGACTATTTTCGCTCTCTAAGATAGTCATTGTTTGTTTTGTGAAACATTTGAACACCACCATGATGGAATAATAAGACTCGATCGGTGTTGTCTAGAAAGAGGATTTCAAGTTCTGCTATGAAAAAAAAAAAAAATCTCCAGCAAGCGTGGAGGAGAGAAAAAAAAACAAAAAAAAAAAAATACAATTTGTTTCTTTGTTTCTCCAGCAAGCGTGGAGGAGGAAAAAAAAAAAAATTCTCCAGCAAGCGTGGAGGAGAAAAAAAAAAATTTTTGTTTTCTCCAACAAGCGTGAAAAAAAAAAAAAAAAAAAAAGAAGTCATACCAATTATTTGTTCAAACAGATACTGTAATCCAACACAATCTTCAGAGGCTGCAATCTTACAAGTCCTTCAGAGCCGATTGAAATTGATGTCAAACCCTATGACTTGGGTGGTATATATAGGCAAGGGATTTGTATAAATTGGAAAGTAAAATTCCAATCCAAAGTTGGATTGGAAAGCAAAAAAAGGAAAGTTGGATACTTTAAGTTCCACTTGAAAAAGGAGACAAGTCCTGTCAAGCTTGGAACTCGAAGTGGGGGCAATTTGTAGACACTAAAATTTTAGTGGACTTTGGTTTTGACAAATGAAACCATTAAATATGGGCTAATGTTTAATTAAGTTATTTAATTGGCCCAAATTTGGTCCACTTAAATTATTTAATTAAGCCCAGTCCAAATGGTTAAATAAAAAGAATAATTATTCATAATAAAATATATTTGGAATAATTATTTTTAAGGATAATTATCATAATATATCCGGCTCGGTCCAGTTATGATATTTTCCTTATCAAAGAGTACACGTGTCATCGTCCTATGAATCCAAGAAGCCTATAAATAGAGGCCTGGAGGAAGGGAAAGGGGACACAAATTGAGAATTCAGAAATCTAGAATTCCAGAAATAAATACAAAAACTCTCAAAAGCGAACCCAAAAGCGAAGAACATCAAACACATCCAACAACGTGTGCATCCAACAACGTGTGCCGTTCTTCATCAAATCCCACGGTAATCAACAACAAGCACATCTAACGACGTGTCGTTCTTCATTAAATTCCATGGTGATTCAAGAACAAACTCGTGCAGCCCTTGGATCCAACCAACAATAAAAAGGAGATCGAATCAGATGACCATTCTTTTTGTAAAAGATATCACAAAAAATTGCACTCCAAATATTTCTGATTTAATAAATTATTATTTTGCTCATATTTTGTCTTTATTGCAGAGTACAAAATTTGTGTGCACAAATAGAAATGATCATACTATCTTCATTATATAAATAAAGGACCATGGAAAACAAAAAAATAATCTTATTTCTTTTGATCGAATCTTCCAAGTTACAATCAACAGAATTTAAGATGGAAAATAACTGGGTTCAGGCTTGAACGTGTCAGTTGAGTATAAGAGATTACAAGGTTAAGATATTAGAAAACAGGAGAGATAGAGAGATTGATTTTAGGGTCACCCTCTTTCTTCTGTCTTTTATCTTATGGTCGTGTTCTGTTCTGTCTTCGGCTTATTGCAGCCACTATGGCTCACAGGATTGTTACGGGACAACTATTTAATCTCATTCAACTTTTGGCCTAAACCCAAAACGCAATTTTTCTAGTGTTGAGAAGATTTTGCAGTGAAATTGTGATGGAAAATGGACGTTGTGGAGAAATAAACTGGTGATGTAAAAAGAGGGACTTCTAGCAACCCTTCATTTAAATCTCTCTTTTATTTGAACATTTATTAAGTAAATAATAAAATAAAAGTGATCAATATAAAGGGCACAATAACATGTTAATCTTTCTCAATATTATAGTTATATTATTAATTCCGCACATTGTTAATCATTTTTATTTAATACTTTTCCCAATATTAGGTATATTTTGTAAGTGTTATATATAATAAATATAACCTGTGGTTATCTATAATTTAATGAAAAAGAAATGGTTATGAATTCAAGGATTTATAGATTGAATTTCATTATTGACAAATTAAATTCTTGAATTAGGCAAAGATTTAGCTCTCAAAACACCAATTCAAATGCGGTGTGTAATAGTAACATCCCTTCAAAAAAAATTGATTTTTTCTTTTTTTAAAGTTAGTTATTATTATTATTATTATTATTATTAAGTTAATTACTCTCTTAATATTTTATTTTTAAAAGGTCTATATATTCATATTCCTTTCTGGTCATCAAAGAGGTCAACGTTAAAATTCATCAAAATAATTTTCCTTACAATGCATAACAATTAACCAAAGCTAATTTTGTTCAAGAGATACAAACTTAATCTTAAATTTTAAAATTAAAAAAAGGTAATTATGCCACGTGTATGATAAAATCATAAAAATCATATCGCGATAAGTCTGAATTGAATTGGTGGTTTATCGAAGTCGACCTGTATCATTTAATAATTTTTTCCAAATTAAGACCTGTCCAGAATACTCTAATGACAAATCACAGCAACCGTCAATAACTCAATGCCAACCACTCCTATAACTCAACCGTTGATTCCCCTCCAAATCCTTCAATACCAGCCATTCGATCGTTTTACAGAGTCAATAAATTGAGCTCGCTATCTCTCTACCAACAATCCACGCCACTCGGTATAGACCTTCTGGTTCTCGGATTTGTTTTGCTAGATCTGTTCGATTTCGTTCATTGCCTTTGAATTTACTTTTCGTATTCGGATAGATCGTTGGAAGGTCTAACTATCGATCAAGGCTTTGGGTGATACGACTTCGGTCACTGGTTTCATTTCAGCTCAGCTTTTGGTAGCTCTGAGCTTCAGATATCCAGATGGATGAACTACGGTACGTGATAGATCTGTTTTTGTTCGACCAAAACAATATCGTTAGAGCATTTTTTTGGCTTTAAACTCATTACTTTCTGTAATTTTTCTTGAAGGCTTTGAAATCTCGTATGGATCTACTAAATCTCTGTCCTTGGATGAGAATTTCTGTGCTTTGTCGAGGTATTGGATACGAAATCATTCGAATTCAGAGGTCTGTATGAATCATAGGCGTTGACTTGATGTGTGTTTGTTTCAGATCTGTTCGTACTCCGATAGATCTGTTTGGTGCCGGCGGTGACCAATCGTTTAGTCGATGAAGAATTTCAGGCGACCATGGTTTTGCAAGGGTTTGTTGGATTGTTTTACTGCTATACATATACATATATATAGTTCTGGTGCACTGTTTATTTGTTTTCTTTCATGTAGAGAGAGATAGCGCTGTGAAATGTGAATGTTCTACTGGTTGTCACAGACCTTTGCCATGTCAGGTGCGCTTGCATGGCAGGTCAACAAAAAAACATAATAAAATTTTGCCTTTTCGTGTTCGGGAGATGGCATGGGCTTTTTTGCCCGGCTCTCCCTGATGTGTCTCGTGTCCTTTTTGTTCATTTTTTTCTCTTCTCCTCTCACTGCCACAAATCAGCTCTTTGCGATGTTAAATCTTCCTCAAACCCGTCTGAGGCCAACTTAGACACACGACTCTTCATTTCAAGCCAGCAAACGCGAGGATGGTATCAATTTCATGGTTTTCAGTTCAAGAGGTACAGATCGTGGTTTTCATGGTTTTCCGTTAATTCTTTATATACACTACATAGTTTTCTCTTTTCAGATTTTGTCACGTATTGGTTGGAAAGAGCTAAATTTGTGTCTCGACATAATGTCTTTCAGTATACCTCTAGTAACTAATTTGGTTTGTATTTGCAAGCATAATTAAGGTTTTCGTTTTTTTGAAGAAAAACTTTATACAAATTGAAACCAAATGAGCATTTAAAGCTGTGAAATACAAGCTAATTTGACTCGTCCATTGTAAGCATCATTTGTCTTTCATTTTATTTATTTTTTTATAAATTTGTTTATAATTCCCACAATCATTGTGGGGAGATGGCCTGAACCCTCGACCTTCCAATGACCAAATGCCTTTGGATAAGCCTAAAGTTTTTAATAAGATTGTCTGTACATTAAATAGTGCCTTGGTGTAAGGCTAAAGTCGATAAGCCAATTAAATTTTCTACACATTATAGGATCATAAGAGAGAATCAAGAGAGCCTCTTCAAATATTTGGGAATTTGTGTCATGGATTGCATCATTAATTGTTGGTGTCTATTGCAAATTTTTTTGGCCAAAAAAGTGTTTCAAAATTTGTTTTAAATGACCATTACAAACATCTATTGCTAAATTTGTTTTGTCTCAAATTCTTCCTACAAGTTGTCGGTCAACAATAGCTTTTAACTGTTTCTCATGGATTGCATAATTAAAAACTGCTTCTACAGAGTCTTTTTTTGTATTATAATGAAGTCTTGCACGGTTAAGAATTGCACTGTGTGTTGTGTGTTGGGGATGCTACTGTATTGTGATATTGTATTGTAAGGGGGAGGTTATTGGGTGGTGGCTTTCAGGGAAGGAATTTCTTGTATTGGGTTTGAAAATGAAGATTGTAACATATTTTACTAATGGTTGAGAGACACTATGTTTGCTAATGGGCCTTTGTGGTGCTTCTTCTCTGTCAACGGTGGTTGGTCACTGCTATAGGTGGAGAGGCTCAACGTTTGCTAATGGGCCTTTGTGGGGCTTCTTCCCCATCAGTGGTGGTTGGTCATTGCCACATCATTGCTGCGGATCTTATGGTGGTGTTTACAGCCAGGAATTGCAGTTTATTATGTCGTGTTCAATTGCCTCTGATCCAGGTTAGAGGGTATATTTCCATCTATACTAATTTGCAATAACTTCAGTATTTTATACAACTCTCTTCCCATTTTTTGATACTCTCTTTGGTTTCTCTTTCAAATGATTGTGGTTCTGATTAATTATGATTGTAAACCGGGAATGTTGTATGCTGTTTGTATTTGAGTTGTGTGACTGAGGTTTATGGAAAGTGTGTTAATTGTTTTTTTGGGTGCTTGTGTTGGTTATACCTACTGTTCAGGTATATACATTAAGTATTGATACTCCATTTTTCTGTTATATATTTTGTTCCTTCAAGACCAGTTAGGATTTGCAGCCATATTTGTAAAATGTTAATCCTTTATTTGAAATATTTTTTATATGCTATTCTATACCTAACTGCCTTTTTATGGAGCGGTTCTGTTGGCTTCATTTGTCACTAATTTGAGCCAACATGAAGACTAAGATACAGTACAGCGCCCTTGCCCTTGTCAATTGTTTAATCTTGTTTTGGTTTGTTGACGACTAAATCTGTTGTAAGCTTGGACAAGTTTATATATTTTCCCTACCGCGAGACTTTGACTGGGAGGGGGCTTTTGATTCTTGGGTTCAAGTTTGTTTAATACAAGTTATTTTGATATTTCTTACAACTAATAACTATTTGTTTTAAAATTTTGTATGTTGCATTTTGTATCCTACTCTTTTATTAGGATGAAACTAATAGTAATAGTTAAAACTAATATTACCCCAATACTAGTAGTAATAGTTAAAACTAATATTACCCCAATCAATACTAATTAATTAAGTGAAGGACCGGCTTCTCTGGGTTTGCACTCTCTTCTTTTATGGTATTTCCATATTTAGTGGCCAACTAAAAAGGGGAATGTTAAAAATGCTGATTGGTTAATTGAAGGAAAAGAAGAAAGAAACTTATCGAAGTCAAACGTTAATTTCCTGTTTGGAAATTGCCTGTTCTTTGGGCTTTTGTTTTGATCCAGAAATGGAAGCAGAAGCTGTTTTGTTTCATGTTCCCTCTTTCCTCTTAATTGAAATCGTCTTAAAATGATTTATTTATTTTAGTTGGTTGCCGAATTTGGGAGGGATAGAAGCTGATGAGGTAAGGGATAGGGATGTTGTGAGGTAAGGGAGGGGGAATGTTAAAACGCTGATTGGTTAAGAGGAAGGAAAAGAAGAAAGAAACTTATCAAAGTCGAATGTTAATTTCCGGTTTGGGAATTGCCTTTGTTTAGGCTTTTGTTTTGATCCAAAATAGAAATGGGAGCAGAAGCTGTTGTTAAAATGTTCCCTCTTTCCTCTTAATTGAAATCGTTATAAAATGATTTATTTTTTAGTTGGCTCCTGGATTTGGGAGGGTTAGTAGCAGATGAGGTGAGTGATGTTGAGAAGCCAGCTTCCCCATTCATTATATTGTCATTGAAATTATTACGTGGGGTCATTGGTCATAGTCAATTATCATTTGACACAATTGCGTGCGCAATTTTTTTATACATTTGATTTATTGTCAAATGTTGATTGGTTTTTGGCCAAAATCCAATTTACTAAAATGTTTTTCTGAAACTAGTTATTTTGCTAAATTTGAAATATAACCCGAATGATTCCTTTTCCTTTTTAAGTAATTTAAAAAAAAAAAAAAAATTATCTAAATAACAGTAACTAAATAATTTTTTAATTTGGGGATTCTCTAATAGATTTTAGCTTTCATTGTATCCTTCTTACGGGAAAGATTTTATTGGAATGGATATGGTTAAAGTTTTTCTATATAAGAAAGTGATTAATCTAGTAAATCGATTTGGGGGTACAACTATATTAAGTTTGAATCTTGATTTATTTTTTGTTTTTAATAGAGCACGAGTTGATTATACCTTTACTAGGGTAATTCCATTACTTCTTCCTATTTTCATATCATATTTAGTATCATTCATTATTTTGTGTGAATCTCCCATTTGGATTATATATTTTTGCATAAAATTGGTTGTCCCAGAGAAAAATAGTTTCCAATTTTTTCCCTATTTGAAAAATAGTTGTCAATTTTTTTCTTTTTGGTGTAGTCTCAAAATATTTGTCTAAACAACGTATTTGAAATCTCTCTCCGTAGAATATTCTTATTAAAAAATCTAAAAAGAAAATCAAATTTTAATCTCTCAACCGTTTTCACCCACGGAAAAAACATTAAAAGCAAGTGGTAACGGTAATTTTGGTTATTTAAAGAATTTTCTAACAAGTTTTGATGGGGAGGGATCGTTAACATCCAAACATTGAAGCGCTAGACTTGTGTGGTATTTTTTCTTTTAATTATTTATTTGAAAATTTTATTTTTAATCTTTGGTTCTCTAAATCAAGATTTTAATCTAATTTTACTAGTTTTGAGGTTTTTGTGAATCGAGGAATTTGGTACTTTTGTTAAAATGCTCAATTAAAGAACTTGGGAATGTGTATGCGAATGAGGGAAATTGTTGTGGTTAAATTGTAAGAGATTCGAATTGAAAAACGGTTTTTTTAATAGCCTTTTGAGAAAGTAGTGGGAATCTACCAAATTTATTGTAATGGTGGGTCCATAAGCTCAAATGGTAAGAGCGCCCAAATATATTTTTTTGTTTGGGAGGATGGTGGTTCGAATCCACTTGGATCCTAATTATATTTAGACTTGATTTTTTTGGGCAAGATGGTGCTTCAAGTAATTTTGTTTGACAAATAAATTTTAAAAAAACGTTCACTTAATATCTCTTGGCAAGTTTATCCCGAGAATAGAACTAGTTATGAAGGTGGCATTGTAGTCAAATTGGTTACATGATTTCATAAAATTTGGTAGCATGATTTAATTTGGGGAATTTGACTGGTTTTATGTACTCTGTAACATTGGTTACATGATTTAATCCGGCTGGTTTTTAAGTACTCTATAACATTGTAGTCAAATAGGTTACACGATTTCATAAAATTTGGTATTTAACTGGGGAATCAAATCAACCAGTATGTGGATTATTATTATTATTATTTTTTTTTTTTGACCAAAGCCAATAACAGGCCACAGGTCATACTGAACATTTAGGTTGCTCCACCGAGTTTGAAACTCAAAAACAGTATCTAGTCAAGTATTTATCTAGGCATGCATAGGTAAGGAAACACAAAACAAACTCGAAAACAATATCTAGTTATCTACGCATGCATAGGTAAGAAAACACAAAAACAGCCTCTGTGGAGGTAAACTTTCTATGCATGTAAAGGTAAAGTTGCGTACATCCTACCCTCTTGCAATGGCGAAAATTTGGTGTACTTGATTATCCATTTTTTGGTCTCTAAAGCTCCAGCCTCACGCCTTAGACATTCTTTTACAGAGTATCCTACAATCCCACAGAGAGAGCAAAAAGCCGGAGCCCTTTTTTTTTTTTTTTTTTTTTGATGAGTAAAAAAGCCCGAGCTTTCTTATACTTGAATAAAATCCAACTGTTAAAGCCCTTCCATTCAAATCTCATACCCCTTCAAAGAGGGATAAAAAACATCACCCAACCGCTACACGCAGGACATTACCTTCTCTAACCACCACTCTATTAAAGCTTTCCAACTTCTCCGCCATTTCCACTACAACTTCAACTGTGACACATTGCATACGGAACCGATGATCAGAAAATTTTAGACGTAAAACCCTTGGCAAGATGATGACTCAAAATTCGAAAGACCTAACATTAATGGGGGAGCTTTAAGTGCAATACAATTTACAAAGTGATACATACAAGGTAATTTCAAGTTCCAGGTATGCAGAATTAATACTTTTCATCTGCAGAAACTTGACACCTATTATTTTTTCCTAACAAATATCAAACTACAATTTAAAATTAAAAAAACCAATAAAAAGCACAGGAAACAAGAACTTAAGAGGGAAGAAACTTTGTAGATGATTAGCTTTTGAATTAGAAGGAACTTGAATTAAATGATGTTCAGCTAAGAGACATTAGAGAAGCTGCTTTTTGAAGTTTCGGGTTGTGGTTTGGTAAGTACGGACTAGTAAACTGACTCCTATTCCAATTCCCAGACAAATGCCAAGAAGACGTGGTTTCGGGACATACAACATCCCTAGGTTGTTTAGTTAATTTGGAGTACTTCTAATATATTTTTGCTCACATGCAAGTGTTAGCATGTTTAAATTTTACTTATAAAGTTGTGATACTTAGTTAGGTTCAGTATGTCGCTTTTACTTTCAAACTTGTAAAGTGTACTTATATATACTCTTTGAGGCTTATTTAACATGTATGAGGTGTGGCCAAGAATCAAACATTATTTTGTATTCATCTTTGCACATTGGTTTGTATTTTGCCTTTAAAGGCAATATTATGAAAATGTGAAGTTTTAATGTGTCATTGTAGACACCCCATTTTGCCCCAAATGTAGGGGTATTCTGATAAAACTAGTTTGGCCAAGTTAGGAAAATTAGAAAATTCGACCATCGGATCACAAAATGGATGTCACCGTTGGATCCAGAACGTCTCAAAACCATAAAATACACCTAAAGTTCACTTTGTGAAGCGACTTCTAGTATTCCATCAAGGTAGGGGCAAAATTGTAATTTTGCACCCCTGGCCAATTCAAGTTTGATTAAAACAGAAATAAATAAATTTAGCATTCAAGGAAATAAAATGACCGTGCAATTGTGGCCAGAATGCATCAAATTTTAGGATAAAATAAAAATAAAAATAAAAATAAAAATAAATAAATAAAATATAAATAAATAAAATAGTTATCATTTTGTGACTTAAGGCCACAAACTAATTCACCAGGTTGCGGTCATAAGCCACGCCCATATAAAAGGAAAAATAAATATAATAGAATGAAAGGAAAAAAAAATAATAATAAAAATAAGGAATAATTTCACGGACACCCTCAATAGTTTGGCCAAATATTAGTCTAAAATATCTTTCGAAAATAACTATCACTCACATTACAAACGTTTGCTCCGTTTTTCACTCACGCCCCAAAAGTTAGTTGATAAGTGTGTCAAACCATTTTTTACATGTAAAAAGACATTCTTACCCTTTGACTTTGGTTTGACCCACTTAATGACATGTTTATCCTCATTTGACTTTAATTTGACTAACTAAATTATTTTTTTTAAGTATTCAAATGACATTTTTACCCCCCCCACCCCACCCCCAAAACACACACACACACACACACACACACATATATTACACACAAGCACAACACCACCACCAACATCGGCGAGGATTCCAATTTTCCTACCAACACCGACGAGGATTCCAATTTTCCTCATATATATATATATATATATATATATATATATATATATATATTATACACACAAGCAAA